ATTTCCTGGTTTCTTCCAGTGCTGCCTGGGTTTCCCCTTCTGCTCAACTCAACACCTCAGAGGCTTCAACTCCTTGCTCCCCACTCAACATTTTTCTCTTATGTTTTACCTTCCTGTTTCCTAAGTCCATCTGTTCCTTGCAACTTTCAATATCACCATTTGAATCTGTAGTCTCCTGGTGGCCACCTGGATTAACTGATGGCCTGACAGATTGACTGAGACCCTCTTTCCTTCCACGCTCACTTACTGTGGGCCTCCTTTTGCCAGGCACAAGACACAATTCTTACCTTCAAAAATTTTTCAATCAAGAGGGTAAAACAGACATTTCAAGTAAGTGCAAGGCAAAACTAGAAGTGATAGAGATGCACACCCTTCTTTGCATCCAAATTCACAGGGGAAGAACAGTGGTGCTAGACTTTGGGAACAGCCCTTCGCTGACTCTCCCTAAATTGGGGGCTCAATCTTCTTTGTCCTACTCATGGAAGAGCCAGGATACTTTCTCAAAGCAGCGTTGTGGCCACCCACTGTTGTTAATGGGGTTCTATCTAGCACCTGCAGGAGTTGCTCCCACACAGGGGATCTTGGGCTATGGCTCTAATAAAAGTATCTAAAGAAAAGCAACTCCATGTCCTAGAGAAGACTAGCTAGCAGAACAGGATTATGTTGGCTCACTGCCAAGTTTTAAGCAGATATTATGGTACAAGGGGGCAGGGCAGAGGCATTTTTACCTTGCAGGGGAGAAAGTGGGATAGGGGCTAGGAGAATATGAAAGAAAGCATTTGAAGAAAAATGTTTATTATTTTACAGTTCCCTTAAGGTCCAGTCATTTTTAATCACAGCTGTTTTGATTCTCAGAATATATGGCATGCCCATATACAGAGAAAGTGAGACACCTCATTTGATAAAGAATTTGTTCTGATTCACAGTTCATACAAAAGTTAAACATCTTCAGTTTATTTAAAATTTGGAATCTTTAAAATGCTTTTAATGAAAATAAGATTTTGTGAAATTAATCAAGAATGATCTTAGATGTGGGAGTACTTTAAAATAAATATGCCTCTGAATTTGAGATAGATCTTTAAAATAATTCTTTCCAGCAGTAATAAACATCTCTTGGTTTTTCCAGGAATAACTATATTCTGGTTTTCTCAAACGGATTTTTTTTTTGTACTAGGTAAATATTGAGACAGCATTTAAGTTGGATCAAGTCCATCTATATTGACTGTAGGCAGCAGCAAATATTGGGGACAATTCAAGAATGAGGGAGAGAATCTTGCAGTTATAAGATGGCATATACAGTTAAGTTGACTACTAAGATCTTCTCCAGCTAATATAGAATAAAAGCACAGCTGAGCCCTAGTGAGTTTGGGAGCATTTAATAGATAACTGAAAAAAATAAAACTTTCACATTCAGACATATGACTCTATATGCTTTAAGATTTTCTGCATACAATCTTATTTGCGATCATTTAATATATTATCACAAGGCAAGTGGCATGCAGTCCACTTTAATGTGACGTTGTAAACGTCCTCATGGCTAGCTCTGCTCTCTGGGATAGTCTGATTAGAATATTATTGAGAATTAAAGCAGATTCCAAACTAGGACACCATAGGCATGTGCAATAAAATATGTTGTTAGCCTCCTGATTTAAAAATGGAAGATTATATGAATCTGAATTTGTATCCAGCCTAATATGTACATTATTGGTGTTTAGCAAATACGATAAGCAATTGAAGGTAAGGGCCTAATCTGAGAACACAGGAGAGAAAAAGAAGAATCAGATAAATAAAACCACCAATAAAAGACGAAAAAAAAAAAAAAAAGAAGAAGAAGCCCTTCATTCATCTAATACTCAGATCAAGGGAGTTTCCTTAATAACTAAAGTCGACATTTTTAAGTGCCATTAAGACAAGCTTCTTGCACACTTGGATGGACCGTATTAAATGAAGCTGGTCACAAACTTGAGTCAGGATGTGTTGACTGCTATCTTATTATTTTTTTTGTATGAGTCTAGCCAAATTGAATATTAGTTAGTTATCTTTAATTTATACTTTAAATGCTTCCTTCATTCAATTAAAAAAAATCGAATTTTCCTTAAATAAATGAATGATTCTCACCACAGGTTCAGAGCAGCATATGCCATGATTACGACCACGATGTTCAACATGAGGAAAAAGAGCAGGAAGACATTGAAATTTAACTTCCTACCGGATGCTAGCTAACGGAAACCGTGATAAAAGCAGTGTGCCTTCTGGAGGCTATTTATGAATTAGTCCAGGTTTGTTTTGTTTATCTCTCAACATACTACTTCATTTTGGTAAAGATCAGCTCTCTGAGGCACCTACACTGTACTTCATGTTTTCCAAGTCATTCTTTCAAAATGAAATATGAGAGCCACGAAACATGAACCTAAAACAAAAATGTACTATGTAGCTACTAGGTGATATTCTTACTGCTCTTGTTCTATGACTTACCCAAATTTAGTAGGATTTTTTTAAAAAACCATATTTGGCACACATGGAATAACAAGTACATATTTCATCACTAAACAGTTACTGTAGATAATACTTCATCAATATCAAAACACATCAATAGCTGGTGCACACCTGTAATCCTAGGGACTCAGGAGGCTGAGGCAGGAGGCTCACCAAGTTCAAAGCCAGCTCCAGCAACTTAGCCAGGGACTAAGCAACTTAGTGAGACCCTGTCTCAAAATAAAAAATAAAAAGGGCTGGAGATGTAGTGTGGTTATATGCCCTTGGGTTCAATCCCCAGTACCACCCCCACTCTCTACCACCCCCCAAATCCCCACTCTCATGTATATAGACGTGTATTGCTTTCTCATCATGATGATTCTGAGAGATTTTTCATTGAGAAGGAACATGTTTTCTCTGTCTCCTAAAATTCCCTGTCATTCCTCTTTAGGTCATCTTTTGAACAGAGTCACAGAGACTTGAGACACATGATAATCAGGTCCTTGGGCCAACAGTGCACATGCTATTGCTACCCAGTATGTATGTGTGTACATATTTTTTATTAAGTGGATAGGTAATAAATACACAAGTTTACCTTCTTCACCAAATATTTTCTGACCCCCTATGTTGTGGTGGGCACTGTACTTTTTATTTGTTTTCACCCAAACATGCAGGATAGGAATTTATTTTTAATCGTTTGGCAGTGCTGAAGGATCAAAGCCAGGGCCTGTGCTGGCTAATCAAAACAGCTTACCACTGAAGCTACCCTGGAAGACTTTAGTTAAAAAAAAAAAGAAAAGAAATCCCCATAATGACTGGAGAATTTTAGGTAAAAACTAAAGAGCATTAGAAGTCAGAAAGAGAAGGGAGTTCTGGTGCAGCTCCTCACTAACCACTTCTTGTGACTTTAGGCCTTTCTTCCACCTGTGTTGGTCTCAAGATTTCCACTTGCATAATGAAGGAACTAGACCAGACAAGCTCTTTTAAAAAATCCATCTGAGTACAAAATGCCACAGTTCCAAATATGGAAGTGTTTTATAATGTTGGGAACTGGCAAAAATAGTACTTCTCCCAGAAGAACTAAACAATATCGATCTCATTTGGGCTATAGCAGTTCCTACGTGAGAAGGCAAACATCACCTCCTGCCCACACTCACCCCATAAGAATCTGAGCCTAGGCCAAAAAAAAAAAAAAAAAGGCATTCACAGAACTGTTGTGGAAAAAAAAAATCTGAATGACCACAAACATTTTGTAAACTTAAAAGAAAACTATCAAATTATCATTCCTTATCTATAGTTGCTGGGAGACAAGAATTCCCACAGCTTCAGTGTGGGTCCCCACCCTCTAGGGATCTAACCACCAGCGTCCTCTACAACTGGCCAATCAGATGGAACACTTGACTAGTAGGTTTTCCTCCTGACGGCTCCATCAGGAAATAAGCTGTAGGAGAATATCTAGAAATGAAGGAAGCTGGCTACTTGGGCTGTTACCAATATTAGGTTTTTAGAGGCAAAGAAAATAAATGCTGTGAATATATCAAGACGTAATAATTTCTCTGATTTGTGACATCTGCTTTCCTATTTCTTTGCTTTTTTTTCTGGACAAGAATGCACTGACTGAAAATAGTCATTTTTAAACTTGAAAAAAAAAAAAAGAGGACATATCTCCAGGGCAAATGGTTTCTAGGTCAGTGTTTGTGTGTGCGTGTGTGTATAAATAAAATCGATATACAATGTATCTATATTTATCTATCTAATCTCTGGCTGGATCATTAAACCTTGGTCTCATTTCAACATTCTGGTTAGTATTTGGTTGAACTGAAAATTAAATGACTGCCAGGCACGGTGGCACACGCCTGTAATCCCAGCAACTTGAGATACTAAGGTAGGAGGATAGCAAGTTTGACCAGTAACTTAGCAAGGCCCTAAGCAACTTAGTGAGACTCTGTCTCAAAATAAAAAATAAAAAGGGCTGGGAATGGTGCTCCATGGTTATGCACCCCTGAGTTCACTTCCCAGTACTGAAAGAAGAATAGAATTTGTGATTAATTTATATGCATGATATAAAATTTAAAATAAGCAAAGTAATTAAGAGAGACCATAACCCTGCCATCCAGAGATGAGCACAGTTAGCATCACATTGTATAAAATTCCTGTTTCCCAGGATGTATAAAATATATACACACGTATATACCTGTAGGTAGAATTCATCCCTACTCTACGTACCTAGGTGTTCAAAGAGAGCTGGGGAGATGGTGCCCCTGTGGGTGCCATGTGAGTACTAAGGCACCCTATTTGGGAAGCTCTGCTCTACACTGCCTCTCAAGCTGAGTTGATCAGCAGTAAGGATAATAAGCTTCATTTCTTGGAAAGTCTCCATGTTTCTTTTGTCTGCCCCTCACTTTCACAGAGCTGGCACAAGTTCAACTAGCATAAGTTTAGATGAATTCTGCACAAATGTCAGGGAGCAGAGAATTCTTGGCTGTCCAAGTTCCATTTCAAAAAGTAAAGCCATTGTGATGGTATCCTTGCTAACACGTATCTCCTCTTACTTTCCTTGGACACAGGAACCACAGTGAATAGGTCCAGTCTTATGGCCTTGTCACTGTGGTGTCCTAGGAAGGAGACAAAAGAGTGTTGTCCTGACAGAGTCCTTCTGATGGCAGAAGCAGGGGTTGGAGAAATAGTAATCTTGGAGAAGCAGTTTAGTTTGGATCCATACATCACAACTGATCTCCCAAACATGTACCAGGCAAACATGTGCCCAGCAAAATGAGATGTGGCTTCTGCCCTCACAGTGCAGGAAGACTTGAAACTAACACAGGATTATAATCAACAAGAGAGGTACTTCTTGAATTGTTTGTGTTTACCCCAAGTTCTTTTAGAATCCATTCAGTCATTTGATTTTCCTTCACAGGAAGCACCCTTTGGAAGTATGCGGCAGGGGCCAGCAAAAAGGCAGATGAGAGACATTTCCTTCATAGTTACAGCCTCCACAGGTCTTCAGTTATGTTAATTACTCACACCTTTCCCTAATAAATGCTTAGGAATTCTGTGTCACAGTGGGAGAGCCCAGAGGGCCACACTGATTGCAGTGGCCCATCTCAACTTATTACAATCACTATGCAAAGGCGATTCTGTTCTAAAAGCAAAATATGATGTCTCCACACCCTAGGGCAGGAACTGAGAACAACACATGCCATCAGTGGTGACCAAACTTAGCTTCCATCATGGATCACGGTGGCCTCATTCTGACAGGTCCACCTGCAGCCTAGCCTGGGATCATACCAAGCAGTAACTGAGCTGTAGCGATGCTTCAGGAGGACAGAGGGGACACAGAAGAAGAGAGAAGTGTAGAAAAGCTTTATTATTTTTTGTCCTTAATTTTCTTTCGCAGCCTTAACTAGAATCTTTGCTTTGAGACCAGAATTCTAGAAGTTTACCTATCTCAAATTAGGTAACCCATACAGCTTAGCTTTTATATTACAGCATACTCACTAAAATCACAAACTATTTCTATGGCCAAAATGTGTGTGTGTGCAGAATGGAAAAGGAGAGTTTTCAGAAGAGTCTTGGTCCAAGGGAAGTGGGTGTGGTTTAGTCAGAAAGCTCTGTCATTTGCAAGCTGGGTCACCTCGGGACCCAATGGCCAGATGTGGGCAGGGATGCTAAGAGGGAGCAGCTCTCCTGGATGGACTCTCAGGGTAGACTCTTGGAGCAGGTGGGCACGTCTACCTGCTGACTCTGCACCTTGGATTTAGTGAAGGAAGCCAGTGAAACTGCTCTAGAGTCCACAGGCTTCAATGCCGTCTTCTTTCCACTTCTGTCTTCCCCACCAAGGGGCCTTGCTGGTTTCCAACTTTATTTTCACACAGCTACTTACTGACTCCTGAGTCCATTTCCTCATCCTCTTTGCAGTTTCTTTCCAACTGCCACTTAGTCTTGAGCAATCAAAACAGAACACACATTTCCAGAGCAGAAACATGATATGTTTATGGAAAAGTAGGACAAAGCTTTTCCTCCAATCAATCTCCTCGTGATGATCAGGATTTTGTTTCCTCTCCTGGCCTAGTCCCTGCCTTCTGAGGAACAGCCCATCTGCAGTGGTTCATGGCTTTTGTTCCTAGACAAAAGCTGACAGCTGAGAAGTCACCACCTCTCACTGGACTGTGATTTCTCCCAGGAGTGTCCCTGCCATGTCATGGGTAAAGTAAGTCATTTTACTGTGAAGAGCTCTTGTGAGGCCTAAGTTTACTCTCAAAAGTCTTCATTCCATGGAATCGTGTTTGAAAATTAAGCAAGTGTTTGGTTCTTTGAAGAAGTCCCTCTTTCACATTTTCTTTTCCCCAGAGCAAATTCTTTTCCAAGCCTACGAAGAACTAGCACCCAAATCCTCCCTGGGAGGTAGAGAGGAAGGGAACATGAAAGGAGGGAGCCTCACAGTCTGTTGAGAAATCTCTCCTATCTCCATGACCTTAGCTAGAACTGTTCATTCTGAGGCTCCGGAAAGTTCCAACAGGGGCAGAGGAAGGAACCAAGCAGAACCCCAGTTTAATGCGGATATTTCCTCTTGCTACACCACATCAATACAATACCTTGGCCTCCCATTAGCCAAACACTCTCAGCAACAAAGCCATCCAACTCTGGGGACAGGAAGGATGGAGACAGAGTGGGAGTAACTCTTGCGTCATGTTATGAAAGCTCGGCTCTGGAGCCTCGTTTTTCTTTCTGAGGAGCTCGTGGACGCTGAAACATCCTCCTCCTCAGCTGCTGGCCAGCAACAGGCCCTAAATTAGTTAAATTTAACTATAATAAACATGCTGCAAATGAATTATATTTAACTCTAACAGCCACCTCAGGGTTTGTCTTGAGATGGAATAATTTTAGCTTCTGCTACCATAAGTCCCCTAACTAAGGCAGAGAGTAATTACCTAAGGAGTTACCCTAATGAGTTCACTGACACTCATTATTTATGATACTGTGTGAACACTCCAGTCTTTACATAGTCAGGCATAGACTGCAGACTTCTCAATATACAGTCTTGGGTGGGCATAATAAAGTCACTAAAAATAAAATTGTTCCAAGTACCTATGACTTCAGTAAAGCCATCTGATTTCAATCTTCATTAACAATTAGAGTCCCAGCTGAAGCCTTATACAGTGAGAGGAGCAGGGTCTACCAAGAAAACGAGCAATGTAAGTCAGATGATAACCTTCTAAGAGAATAAACCAAATGGAGGCACTTTTAAAGTATGGTTATTTAAAACAAGTCAGGCTTGAGTGCTGTGCACGCTAGGGAGGAATCGTGCTTATCTATCCATGGAAGCAGGATCTCAGTAGCAGCTGGTCAGGGGAACAATTTCTGAAAGTACCCAAGTAATGACAACTTGTCTGAAATGCCATTTTCTTATAAAATATTATATTCCAACATTGCATTTATTGTGAACAGTTTCCTCATTATAGCATCCCCACTCCTCTAGTCATCCCTTACACCTTTGCTACAGATCAGTTTGGGGCCATTTACTATAATGTAAAGAACTATAAGACCTAGTCTCTGCTCTCCAGAGGTTAGAGTTTAGAAGGGGACACTGCCTGTTACATATCAGTTAACTGGTTAGGGCTGATTTATGTGGAGTGGAAAAACCACAAATGACTTGGACTGTGACCAAACCATCCCTGGCCAGCCCCGAGCACTGAATGCCCTTCAAATACTTGTGCATTATGGGCATAATCTCCTGTGCTTTGGTGCATATATAATTAACAATGCTGTATTTAACTTGTACATAGGTATTTATATCTTATTTTACAAAGGATTTAAAAAGGCTTCCAAAAGAAAATATTCAACAAAATAATCCTTGAATATGAATAAACATAAAGAGTCAATGCAAGGAGTGGAATGTTACTCACTCTCTTCTTACTTCTCTTTGTTCCCTACTCTCCTTCCAAAGTCATGAGTCATGCCAGCTTGGAAAGAGATCTGAACACGTGGGTTTAGAATGAGGTAGAAGGTGTGCTTGAGCCAAATCAGCCTCCTTCCCCAACTCCTCCACTAGCCCAGGGTCCAGCTCTGGCTAGGCACTGGGACTCTTGCAATGAAGGAGGTGGCACCCTGGCAGCCACTGTTTCACCCTAGGCTTGAGTCTCAGGAGCTTATAAGGAGCCAGGATTTGGGGACTCCGGAGTTGTGACTGTAAAACCATGTAGCAGCCTCCGAATCTCTCTCCTAGTATAATATGGCCAGGGTCAGCATCAGTTAGTGTAGCACCACTGAGACCATAGTCAGCTGCAGAATTCTCCAGGTTAAACTCACCTGCACATTGAGGTAAGTTAAATTTCTCTTGACATTGAACTCTTCAAACATTTTCAGAGGGAGTTTTGAGCAATATAAGGTATGAGATCCTCAGCAAACTTACTAATGTACACACAAGGACCATTTCCTATATTGATTCCTACAGGAGGTACTGATGGAAGTGGGTACCTACCAGCACGGGCAACACTATGGGAGGCCACAGCAACTTGGTCTGTTAAGAAAGACCCTATTTATCCATCCCAGGATTATTCTTTCTTAGAGGAAGGTTACTATTTATTTTTTCAGGCACTGTGCCAGTGCCTTATATTGTTTATTAAAATGTTAACTTTCTTGAAACACTATTAAGTATTACCACACATACCAGTAAAACCACTTGAGGCCCAGAGAAGTTAAGGCAAAACCAGGACTCAAACTTGAATATGCTGGGGCTGCAGGTGTGGTTCAGTGATAGAGTGTTTGACTAGCATGCGTGAGGCCCTGAGTTCCATTCTTAGCACCACAAAAAGAAGAAAAAAAACCAACAAAACAGCTTGGATCTGCTTTCAAAGCCATCCATTTATGCCTTGGTTTTTGCTACATAAAGAAAAAGAGATTGTTTTGTCTGAATCAAGCAGTGAAAAACATCTAAAAATCAATTCATTTAGTTAAGCAAATTTTAGAGATCCCTTTCCCTCTGGGCTGTCTGACTAAAATGAACCAGGTCCTCCAGGGTCACGGGGACACCTGGATACCTGAGCAGTGTGCTGGGTGCCCACCAAGCTTCCTCAGAAGCAGTTACTCCCAAGTGGGAACTGGCAGTGTCATTATGTTACCTGGTGTGTCCGACAGTATGAGAGTACAAATAAATTAAATATTTGCTTATGCGGCTGCTTATCAAATGCATATAAAAGAGAAAACGAATTTCACATCATAAATGAGTGTTACCATTTAGAAGTAAAATTCAACAGAACTGAAGCTATGAAACCCCACGTAATCCCTTGAGGGAAAAAGGCAAATTTACAAACCTCTCATCTGTTTTCAGACCTACTATTTATTGTCGGCGTACAGAGACTTCTGAAGGAGCCAGGCAGAGAAACAGCAAGGGGAACGGCTCTGATGATGGGCATTAAAGGAGCGAGGGCTAGGAATAATCACGCAGAAGACTGTGGAAACGCTCGGCGGCTCAGAAAACCCACACACCACAGACAGTTCCACATCAACACTAGAAAGTGTTTCTCTAGCTCTGAGAGTCAGTCAGCAGCCGCCAAAATATTTGTAGAGAAAATAGCATCTGTCTTTTCCAACCCACTCAAGTTAAGGTGCATTTGCCCACTCTGCCAAAGAGAAATGCTAGCTAAATGTTGCTGGCATCTTTACCTCATCGGGTCTCTGTTTCCCCACCTGTGAAGCAACAGATTTGGAAAGATCACTCTAAGGACTTGTCTAGCTTGTCATTCTGTGGTTCTATGAATTTAGCCGGCTAGCTCTACCTTTGGTATTTGATAGTTGGCTTTTTTGTTTTTTAAAGAGGGGCGCCCCCTCCCCCCTTATTTTCCTTTTTGAAGCACTGGGGATTGATCCTAGGAGCACTCTACCACTGATACATCCCAAGCCCTTTTTATTATATTTTGAAACTGGGTCTTGCTAAGCTGCCAGGTCTGGTCTCCAAACCTGCGATCTTCCTGCCTCAGCTTCCCAAGTAGTTAGCATTTAATTAAAGGAGGCTATTTTTAAGGGTGAATGGTACTTCTTTTTCTTGTCCAAATCCTGTTTTTGTTATGATCTTAATCACATTTTAATTATTTTAGTTTTTTATCTATCTCTGTTATCTCCAGTGTCTAACATTCTATATGCCTGGTATCTAGCAAACTTATCATGTACCAAATGTTTCTTAAACTACTCTCTCTCCTTGCAATTGACAAGATTCCCTGGAACTCTTAGTGCTGTATAGGAAAGGACTCAATACTATTATTGTACAATCAGGCTGGCTGCTCTCCTGATATGAACTCATGGGGTTATCTAGGGTGGTACTTCTTCTGACTGGCACTTGTCATTAACAGGCAAGTGTTCACTGTACATAATTATGTGTCTTGCTGTGTCTAAATAGCAAAACAAGTAAGCAAACGAAGAGGTATGTGTTCTATGTTTTAAGGGAGTTACTAGGATTCTTCTTTGTATAACCCACCATTACTAGGATAGGGCACTGCATGTAGGTGGCACCCCGTATTTTCTGGTTAGTTGAATGCAATCAATCAGTTAACGCCACAGCCTTTTCAAGTACAGTGCCCTAGACCTTCTGTGGCCATGAAGTCTCCTTGTCTTCTTCCATGTTTACCAAGAGGCATGATCCACCTCTCGTATCTGGGCTTTTGCAATGCCAGTGCCTCCATGATTACAGTCACCTTCTTCCAGACCCCTCATGACACTCAGCTGCATCACCTGCCTTCCAAGGAAAGCAAGGGAAGCTCTTTCACCTGCTGCTATACTATGCCTTGACAGCTGGCTAGTGACTGGCTTTCCACCTACACATCAGAGTTCTACCAGCGTGTCATTTTGTGATAGAATTAAAAAGGTAACAACACTATATAGTTAAGACTGAAAGGAAATGGTTAAAGGAGAGACAATTTCCATTATCTTTCAAATGACTAAATGCATTTCAGCTCCTTGGGTTTCCTGAAACTGTTTATCATGTACTTTTCTCTCTTCCAGGTTACCTCAGGTCCAGCTCTACATCCCAAGAGGAACAAATAAATGCAATGGAATCACACAGCCTACTGTGCCTTCTTACCAAGCAGAGAGAAAACCCGTGCACATAACCACACTTCTGAACCTCCTCAACAGTCCTGGGAACCATGTCTCTAAGAAAGCCTTTCTGTTTTCAAGATGAGCTGCACCTGGCCCCAGCATGCCTGCCCTGCCAGCATTTTCGCAGGTGGGCTGACAGCCCCAGTGGAAGGCCTCTGAGACAGCCCACAGAGCCATGGCTGCACCCGCCCATGTGGATACTCATCAAGCTATACACCCACAGCCATCTGTCAGCTGAGGTTCCAGATGTTGGGCCTGGTAAGCGGGGTCTCCACAGCAAGCTGTCAGCATCTTGGGACCTGAGTCCTGGCTGGGCATTCTCAGGACCGTGGTCTTGTGTAATCACCTAATACTGCTCAAACACATTCAAGTGATGGGGATTCACTCCTTCACAAATGGCCCCTTCCATGAGCTGAAAACTCTCTAATTTTTCTCCCACTGGTCCTAGTTCTGGCCCTGAAGGTATAAGTAGACTCCCTTTCTGTAATTAATTGTTTACTTAAACCAAAAACAAACAAAAAAGGGCATCATGAGGCATGAAAGGAGACAGGAAACTACTGTTGGCAGGACTAGATTAATGAAGTGCCCCGAGAGCTGGTGAAATCCAATCTCTTCTCCATCTACGGGCTGCGGGAGCTGCTGGATGGCAGGCCCCCCATATCCCCAGAGGCCATGATTGTAAAAGTCCACAGATATATGCCAAGGGCCTATTCTGAGGAAGCTGCTCCAGGTTCAAAGATGACTAAGATGGGGTTTTCATCCTCAACTCCCATATTCTCCCAAAAGAAACAGGCAATTCTAGAACCACATGTAACCAGGCCTGGAGTGGCTTGGGGGGTGGCGTGCTAGGGCCTTGGCTTCCCATGGCAAGCCTCAGCGTGGGGCTGGCTAGATGAGGGGTCTCAGTGGGCCCAAGTTGAGGGGTCCACTTGACTCCCTGCCACTCAGATAGTCTTTGAGTTGGAGACCCTTCTCTTCCTCTTCTGGCACTGGGGAGATCCTATTTTCAGCATAAAATTAGCATAGAGATGAAACCATTTCAGGGAACTTAAGAGTGAATTGACACAGGAGACATTAAGTTTTCTGTTTCTAAAATGGAAAAGTTTTACTTTTTCTTTAAAACCCCAAAGCTGCCACTTAATTTGTGTTTAGATTATGCTTCCATGGCTGAGCTACAATAGTGGAGCTGTGCTCGGGGACTGAGGGGGGCTGAGGGGCTGAGGGGGGCTGAGGGGCTGAGGAGGACAGCAATACGTGCTGAGTGGAGCATGCGCGGTGATACATCACGGTGCCCACCAACACTCACAGGCAGGGTGTGGACAGCCCTTCCTCGGCCACTCCACCAAGCAAAGCCAGCACGGTCTGGGTGCGAACGCTGGTGCTGAAGAAATGTTCCTGGAGATTTACTGGCAGGACCTGGTCCAACCCAAACCCATGGCTGCTTCTGGCTCCCCTTGCATTACTTCACAGACATGCTCATTGTTCTTGGCCGGGATCTCTCTTCAGCCTTGTTCGGGAAGAGATCCTAGTAGCGGGCTGGTAGCAATAAGTTGGCCTCGGCGCCCATGCTACCCCCTCTCCCACACCAGAGTTTGTATTTTTGCTTTTTTAGGTTTTCTCACATCCCTCCTCTCTGCACTTGCAAGCTCTTTAGTTCTCTCCCTTTTTGCTTCAGTGGATTTGCTCCTGATCTCATCAGAAAACCATTCCCTCAGCCATCAGTAACAGCGGACACTAAAGACCGCTGCCTGCTGGTGGCCCCCAAAGCAAGCCCTCCCCAGTGCAATGTCGGGGCTTGCAATTAAGAGAGCACTGGGCAGCTTCGAGTCACGCCGGATTTTACAGCAAATGATTCCAGTGGAATAGACTTTTGGAAGAATGTTTTTGAAAGTTCAGTCACCTGATTCCACTGCTAAATGGATTAAAACAACTGAAAATGCAAGTGTTTTCATGGATGCCAAGCTGGCTAAGATACTCTCTACATCAAAGGGCTGTTCAGGGCCTGGGGGACTTGTTTTTAATGCAAGGGGACTAGATTCTGGTTATTAAATATGTGGCAGATAATACCTAAACGTACATATACTATAAAACTTATTATGGTGGACTTTATTAATTTAGACTTTTCTAAAATAACCTACTTTTAAGAGTATATGACCAAAACAAAGAGTTTCCTAAATGAAACAGCCACCAAGGGCAGGCAGCAGAACACAACAGATATGCAAAGCATCGGCACCATATCTAAGCTGATATAATAATTTATTAAGTGCTTATTATGTGACAGGTGCCATTCTAAGAGCTTGATATGAATGAACTCCTTTTATCCTTCAATCAACATATGAAGTAGGAATAGCATGTTTATATTTTGGTAAAACGGGGCAGAAAGAAGTCACCAACAGCCCAAGAAAGGGCCAGTCAGGGCCAAGCCCAGTGGTTGAACCCAGACAATGTGATCAGAGAACTTTTTCTCTTGACCGTGACCCATGCCAATTATATACATTGCTAGCTTCTCACAGAAGGACCTAAAAAAATGACTATCTAGCATCACTTTCTTAGATAATTATAGCTTTGACAAAGAACTGAAATAGTTAGATTTATGCACGATGGAATGGATCTGGAGACACCTAATCTTAATCACATGGTGAAAGCCAGCAAGGGGAGCCCTGTGCGTTAAGCAATGCCTCCCCCTCCAGTGCCAGGCAGAGAAGGATGGGGAAGTTTCTTTAAAACACTAAGGCAGCATGAAGCTCTGGAAGCTGGCAGTGTGGGGACTCTTTCTACATTGCTGTTTGAATGAGTTTAATGTAGCACAGGGTATTATGAGAATGATTGTCAGATTTCATAAACCACATTTTGCTATTCACAGGGAAGTCCCAGCAAAGCTAAAGTAATAACATGTATACAGAATAGCAATAATAATATCTTTTGCAATGCACTGCAAGGATGGGAAAATATAACAAATGAAAATTATGGTGTGTAATAAAAGAGCTGACAGAGATGAAAAGAAGATTGAAAAAAATACAGATTTGTTAGGCAGATAACCCATGGTATGAAGTCAATAAAAATTACAGTGGCCTAAATCCATGTCAAAGACAAGAAGTCAATAAAAATTACAGTGGCCTAGATCCATGTGAGTGACAAGCCTGAGAAGAAAATCTAAGCAAAACAACAAAAAATATGTTTTTCTTTTATCCTTCAATGTAAAATATCTTTTTGTCCATTGAACATGCTGACTCTTCAAGAGTTTAGTTCAATAAAAGTCTTCCCAGTAAAGGAAGGATTCTGGGATGAGTCAGTACCATGACACGTTCTGGAAGACTCTGTTCCAGGAGAGGTAGAAGGTTCCACGCTGGTCTCCAGAACCCACCTTCCAAAGGACCTTGAACTTGCTTCTCCCAGTTGCTTCAAATGATAATCTTCTCCCCTTCACTGAGACCCGGCCACCCTTCATTCATATTTGGGAAGAGTCCTTGCACTTACTTCACAGAGAAAATAGAAGCTACCAGATGGGAACTCCGTCAACTTCCAGTTGCCAAACTGAGAAGCCTACAGCACCTACACCCACCCCATTCTCTGAGTCTTATTCTTTCTGGGTGAGTCCCACCCTGCTCAGCCTCCTTTAAATTTAGATTGGGAGACATCCCGCCCTCTCAGGAACAGGGAACCATAGAGTACCCCTCCTTTCTCTCTCATATAGTCAACCTCTTGTACTTCTCAGGATCCTTCTGCTTCTAAACACTGAAGTATGTCATATTCTTATGACTTCTCTTGACCTACGGTCCTCTGTAACAATGACCTCACCCTTCCTTCTCCTTGGGAGTTGACTTTCCTCAAGGATGATCATTTCTCATCGTAGGCACCAATGACCCACGTTGCTAGAGATGGTATTGGGTATGTTGCCTACTCATGTTCTACTAGTTTTCTGTCTCTGTGATAAAAAATATCTGATAAAAAACAACTCAGGGGAGGAAAGATTGCCTTTGGCTCCTGGTTTCAGAGGTTTCAGTCCCTGGTCACTGGGCTCCACTGTCTCTGGCCTGGCACATCATGGTAGGCGGGCATGTCGGAGCATGAAAAGCCACTGATTCATGGTGGCCAGGAAGCAGGGAGGGAGAGAGGTGGGCTGGGAGGAGCTGGGGACAAGATACATTCCTCAAAGGAAGGCTTCCAAGGACCCACCTTTTCCAACTAGGCCCCACCTCCTGGAGTCTGCACCACCTCCCAGTAGCACCACCCAAACTGGGACCAACACTCCAAAGGATTGAGCCTTTGGGGGGCACTCCACTGCACGCACCATCGTTTTGAAGCCCACTGTCATCCTGGCTTCTGTAACTCACATGTCTTGACACTGTCTCACCTCCCTGGCTCCCCCACGTTCCCTTCAGGCCTACCGTCCTCTACCTGCCACTACACACTCAGGTTTGTCAAGACCCCCGAGGCCCCTTGCTCTTTCCTCTCCATGCTTTCCAGCCCGTCTTCTCCACATGCTCAGTTACAGACAAATTTATATGCCAGTCTCCATGCCTCCCACAAGCTCCAAATGATTCCATCCTGTCTGTACAACATGTTGACCTCAGGATTCTATTAAGCCTCAAGGTCAATATGTTCAAACCCAAGTCTCAGCCAGTCATGTCCTTTTATCAATGAATGGTCGCAACATCCATTCCGTCCCACCGTTAGACACTTGGCCATCTCTGAGGTTCAACCCAGGAGCAAGTCTGGAAAAGCTTGCTTGGGTTTACCTTGGGATCTGTTGACTCAGCTTCATCCTCTCACTACCTCACTTCCTCTGAGTTGCTACCATCTCTTGCATCTCTGCAGTGGCCTCCTCCTGGTCCTGCAGCCCTTGAATCTCTTCTCCACGGAGCAGCCAGAGCCATTGTTTTGAAAGCCACATTTGATCATGTTACATCCTGCTATAGTTTGGATAAATGTCCTCGTAAAGCACAAGGATTAAAGGCCTGGTC